CTCTCTTTCTACGGTTTTCACAAGGACAGAAAGCGATAAAAAAGAATCTGCCTCTCAACTCCCAACACCTTTTCCCCAAAGCATTGAGAACATTCCCATATATAATTTAAAATTAAATATTTTTTTACCGACAAAACCCATGCTCAAAATCAACTCAATCTAAAACTCTCGATTTATGGCAAATCAACAAAGAAATTTTGCAGAAAGATAAAAAATTTCAGTTGGGATTTTACTCTCCCAATAAAAGAATTTTCCACGTAGACCCATAGATTTAACCTACTTTTTAACCACAGATTCTTCAAAAAATCACTCTTAATAAAATTTATTCTCATTTCACTACCAAACAGGGGCATAATTGAACTAGATTCGAAATATCACCACATTTATATAAAAGTAATGTCCTGCGGGGATTGGCAAATGATTTGACCGCCAACAGCTTTTCTCTAAAAAATATCGTACAAGCTGGTAAAAGAAGTTCCAAGAAAGGAATAAACTTTAACTTCACACCTGAATGGCTTCTCATGACTTGATCATGGCTTGTGGACCTTGAAACCGAACACTCTAGGAGCATAGCTCTGTGAAGACTTCTGTGGCCTGACGTGTCCATAAGTCATCAGAAATAGGTGGGGAAATGTCGTTCCAAAATAGGCTCCATCAACGCCTTCCCCATCAGTTAAAGAACAAACGAAAGCAAATTTCCAGACAATAAAGATTTGGAGAGTTTTAAGGCCATGTTCAAGTCAAAGTCAACAATTAATTTTAACCACATTTTATGGGTACTTTTCAACCACACATTTCATCAACTTTTATCAAAGTCTACTAAAAATCTGATTTTAATCCCCGCCAAACAGGAGAAATAGATTTGTACCAAATTAAACTTTGCAAATGCAATTGAAGTCAATCTCCAAAATTTGTTTCACCGGAAAATACAATCAACATAGAGAAACAAAACCGAGGCACACAATCACTCTCTTTTGCCTCAAATTCACTCTCTTTAGGGCATAAACAAAATTGAGAGAAATCGAAGAGAAAGGGGAAAAGAGGAAATAATTTTAAATAAGTTCAGCATATTCAGTCCATTCATTCTCTTTAAGGCATGTCTCCATGTTTGATTATTAATGAACCAATAGGAAAGAGTTTGGCAGAAAGGATGAATGGTCCAAAGGTTATAATCAACCAGCCGAATACGGATCATAGTTCAAGATCCACCAAATCAAACAGCACAAAACTATGTCTATGAAATTATTGCAAAACAGAGATAAAAGGATACTCTCTTGGAACCTGGATCGAGGAGTATAAATATCTTCACACTTGGGACAATATATTTTCACCGTGCTTAGGCGAGGAATGTCCGATTCACCAACAGGTAGGCAGGGTTGTCCACAACAGTATACTTTTGGGCATCTCCCAAACTCAGCATTCTTGTACTTCTCTAGCTGTCAAAGGGCAATCATAGGACAACCTTTAACCAACAAAATTGAACATCTAAAATGGATTTACAAAATGAAGCTATATTGAAAGAGATCGAATAAATTGCATGGACACGGACATGCATGTCGGACACGAAAAGACTCAAAAACGTTGACACTTTTTTTTTGAAAAGCTGGACATGGACACGCTGGGGACATGCCAAAATAAGTTCTTTAAAATTTTAAACTCATAAATATGTTTTTATTTTTATAATTTTTAATATAGCACATGTCAAATGACATGCATACACTTGCCCGAGCGGTGTTTCTAAAGTATCCCTCGAGCATCAGTAATTTAAAATATGCATAGAAAAATGGAACAAGGGCATGAGAGTTGTTTAATATATATCTTTAGTGTCCGAAGAATGTCAGTGCCTGACACAACACAATACGTGTGGGACACATTGCTCTAGTAGGGATGTCTGTGCTTCTTAGGAGATCGAAGTAAACAGTACTGCTTTAAGCTAACTATGAAAACCAGCTAATATTTTCTGGGCTATAAATAAATATTTTTTTTAATAGGTAATCAGATAATTTTATTAATCAAAGAAGAATATATAGGAAGTGTATTATTAACTTAAACAAGAAAGAAAAGACATGAATTTAGGCAACCCCTCTACAGAATTGCTAGCCGCAGCATTAAACCAATTATACAGAGTCAGATAAAATAATTCTATAATTTGTTCTATGTTCCGTGTTTGGTCGTCAAAACATCGGTTGTTCCTTTCTCTCCACACATACTATACAATGCATCCCGAGATAAGATTCCATACAAGCTTACTATCCTTATCAAGAAACTTTCTTCTCCATGCCCGCAACACGTCTTCTATACGTAAAGACAACACCCAATCTAAATAGGCATGGACTTGAATTGGGAGTTGAAGCATTAATCACTAAATTAATTAATTTGTTTAGAAAAAATTAAAAAAATTTAATTAATTCAATAAAAAAATTTTAAAAATTATTTAGATTCGGTTCTTGGTCTAGAATCGAAAACTGAACCCCATCGGTTCTCGATTCAGATACTCGTTCGGGTTTTTAGATTATGAAGAACCGCTCGGTTTAGTTCAGTTCAGTTTGGTTGTGCTCAGGTTCGGTTAGGTCCGTTTCGAGAGTTTTGTCCAGCCATAAACTCTAGTGTCCCACATGATAAGCATACCTTCTGATGCTCCCAATGACCCCAAAAAC